ACAATGCGATTTAATGGTTTCGACACATTACTACCCTATCACTGCAACATAAAAATAAAATAACATAAATAATTAAAAATAAATACACTAACGAAAAGAAAAGGAACTGAACAAAATAGTTTTCAGGTGATTGCATTTACAGATGAATATACGGAGATGAAAAATGATAATTTTTATATCATTCTAGAGGAAAAAAGAAAGGAAAGATGAAGAAAGGCCAAGAATATGAATTGCAAAACAAAATTATGAGCTTTGCGTTTGGTATTATTACCTGAGTGTCCCGAATTCCAGGACCAGCGGCCAACAGAACTACCAAATGGAATCCCTTCATCAAGAAATTTCGATACCATTTCCTCTGACAATGAGACGACAATTTACTAAGATAATAACAATAATATAATAATAAAAAGAATATTATGAGAACATGAGAGAGATAGACCCATCCTAATGCATACAAAAGTGATCAAACAACTATACTCACTGTTGCGAGAGCCTTCTCCTCCAAATGTGCACGTGATCCAAAAGCTGCAATGGGGACATCTGAGATCCTTAAATTTATACCATCAGTTGAAGAGTCACTAAACTTCCGTTCCTTGACAGCAACTGCACAAATCTGACAAGGAAATCATCAGTTCGGTTAAGCAGCTAAGTTCTCCACTTAGATATCCTTCCCCCCAAAAAAAAATTGGATTCATCTGGTATCATTTCAGAAAACATAGATAAACAAAATTGAGCCTCAGTAATATTTGAAAACAAAAATTGAAAACAATTATAGATTATTACATTTTTTTTTAGTTGAATTTGGTGGAAATGTCGTTGTGGTTTCATTTCCAGACAAATTCAATTCAATATCATGAGCCATCTCAAGTAAGGTTGGGTTAATCATGACTTTGTTACATATATGTAATAAAAACTGATATGAATCTTGTTATGATAAAAAAAAAATAAAAAAAAAATGATGATTTTGTTAAATAGAAGCAAACCGGTTGTAGATCCAAGCTTAATTATGAAAATATGAATAGGGATAATACTATCAAGTAAAGGAAATTGGTCTACATGGCAAAGGGATCTTGAAAATAAAAGATGGAACGGTTGGAGTGAATCCAAAAATAAGAGAAATAGTGAAGTAAAACCTATACTCTCAGAAACCAAACAAAAGAAACTCGTAGTAATCAAAACGTGTATCCACCTGGTTTTCAAGTTTCTCGAGGTCACTCACTTTAGTAGCCCCGTCAGCATCAAGCATTAGTAATAGTTCACCACGTGAGTGGAGCATGCCCTGTTTATTAATGCTTCCAAGAAGCAGAAATGTTCAATAACTGACCATAAAACAAAATCTAGGACATATGTAACACACAAATCAAAGCAAACAGTTTGAATTTGCTCACTTTTCTAATAGCTTCTCCCTTCCCGTGGTTCCGTCCAAGAGGGATCAATCTGACATTTTCTACAGTGTATCTCTTCACGAAATTAAAAGCTACTCCTTTTGTACCATCAGCACTTCCATCATCAACAATCACCACCTGCTCCAATATTTGGTAATTCATAATAATATACAAATTGGTCTAATTAGTAAAAAAATGAGATGACCTTTTGAATAAGGGTCCAAACTAGAACATGGATCAATCGCTACAAAGAAAGGAACCTAAACAGCTCACAGAAAGGAACCCTTCAGGAAAAAAAGAGAATGAAAAGAAAATAAACACTAAATGGAGTGGGTCAACAACCAATAGTGAACAATCAACACTCTGGAAAGCAACAATTTCGAGCTTTTAGTATCTGATTTGATAATCACAGGAAACAATGATGGCAGACCATCACCAAAAGGTATAGATGTGTAAATCATAATATTGTAACTGTGCATTTTTTCCACGCTCTAAACTATAACTGCTAGAGGCGTAAATCCCGACTGCCGCACAACTCAAGAGCCATATCTCAAACAATAATTATAAGGAACTTGAAAGCTTATTTCACACAATTCAAAAGCAATTACATAGTAAATTCATCCATAAAATCATTTCCTATGGAACAAGGGAAAAGAAATGATCAATCCCAAGATTATGCACAATAATCTTCCAAAATTCTCTTATATATGTGATCCCAATCTACTAAATTAAAAGTAAAAGGAAAAGATGCAACAAAGATATACCAAGTGATTGATTTAAAATCTAGAGAAATCTCAAGCACTCCACCGCAAGCCTAGGAATAGAGTCACGCATTCAATAACACAAATGGCATACATCCTCAAAAACAATTTATTTAGTTTTGTAATTTTGTTTAGGCATCCCTATATTAGGGTCAAAAGACATTTTCTAAGTACAGTCACTCTGATCATTGTCCATAATATGGGTTCGGCACTCTCTCCTTTTGAACTAGCTTTTGAATACGAAGTGTTCCCGAGCCAACTACCATGTTACAAGAGAACCCAACCTTTGGAGGCAATGCTGTGTTTCGATGGCGTTAGAAGCTGTCTTATTCCCAGACTTACATTCGGATGTTATCATGTTAAATGTGGTTTCTGCATTTTTTCCCACTAAGCTAGGTCTGAGAATGAATTCTACCCAAGATTTAAGAAATCCAATGCTTATAATTAAGAGAATAAGAAGTTCGATATGATTACTTTAATGCTTCCTCTGTTCCTCATGCTATATATATTTTTATGTACACATCTGGAACTTAGAGAAAATATACACAAGTGACATGTTACAGCAAGGGTAATTCTGTCAAAACCATTCTAGAATGTGAAGAAATAGATGAGCACGGCGATGATTTACCTCATATGAAAATGACTTATCTTTCACCTCGCGTTCTTTAAGATACCTACAATTACCAAATCAAGTATTACAAGACTTTTAACATGTATGACAAAGTTTAATCGAAAATGAACAACTAATCACAAGCATGTATGTAAAAGCAAACTCATATGCTGTAGTTCTCACTGCATTCTTGTACAAATGTTTCTAGCATGGAGTTATTTTATTGCATATGCCGAAAATAATCATAGTTCTAAAACACAATGATACTTTGAAGTATCAATTCACCTATAACACATAGACTGATCTGCAAGTTGAATGCTAGCACAAATTGAAAATTAGCCGTATGCATATTAACAAAATTGGGAATTATTTATGAGAAAACACGTGAAATCAAGTACAAAGTGCTTATTAGAAATTAAAAACCAAAAAATGAGTTAACAATAGATCATCCACTTTTCCACATGGGTCAGATCACAATCACTGTTCTACAACTCAAATATGCCATGCAAGAACACAATAGATTGATCTCAGCGAGTCACGGCAATCAGCTTATGAATTAAAAGCAACAAATTGGACTTAACATACATTTAAAGAGTCAAGTAAGGAACATAGGTTCATTTAAATGAGGCAATTAGTATACCGATTGTCATGCTGATAATCATTCCATATGCATAAGAAAAAAAGAAAGTGAACTTTTAAATGCAGAAAAACTACATCTTTTTTCTGTGTACCTTAATTATCAAAAAATATGTAACGTCTTATAAAGAGATTTTTACATAAAAATTGAGATTGTTTCAGTGTCTAGTTCCTTCATCTGAATTAGTTGAAGTCATCACAGACTTCAAACAAAATAGTCCATTATATAAACAGCAAACGTCAAAACGTTGTTTACAATAACTAATACTAAGATCAGCCCTACGAGCTAAAATTCAATGAGACAATCTCAAAATTGTTACAATACTCAAGCTCACATGCAGGTCAACACCATTGAAACCAATGTGATAGGCAATGCCAGGCATTAAATGCAGTGGACTGAGTATAGAGACGATAAATAGAGACCATGTTATATATTCTTAGTATTTTAAAAATCAACTACATAAAATAAGAAATCATATAGAAAATAAATGTTCTCAAAACCGGACCGGTCATCGAACCGGTGAAGCTACTGGTTCAATGGTTCACTGGTCGGACCAGTGGTCGAACCGGTAGAACCGGTTTAACTAATATATAATTTATTTATTTATTTTATATGTATAAAATATAATTATATATATATTTATCATTAATTTTATAACATATAATGACATTTTTCTAAATAAGAGTTGATAAATCAATATTTCAAGTATAGTTTACCATAAACAATACTAAATAAAGTTCACTAAAACAATAGATTAATAATTCAATATCTAAAGCAAGGCAATCTAAATTACAAATACAAACTATAAGTCATCAAACATCAAAATATATCCAATCCAACATTACAATTCATCAAACTACAAAATACCATCTCACTCTTCTTTTTTTTTAAATTTTTTTTTTTATTTCATCAAGATTTTTTTTTTTTAATTTCAGAACCGGTTCGACCGGTCGAACCGGTACCGGTTCACCAGTTTTACCGGTTTTGAACCGGTTCGACCGGTTCGATACCGGTTCTTGCTCCCAGCGGCCCAAACATGCAAACCAGACCGGTACTAGGTCCGGTTCCCGGTCCAACCGGTCGAACCGGCCGGTCCGGTCCGGTTTTGATAACATTGAGAAAATTCATTTCCGCATTCAAAACCAATATCAATCATTAGGCAGCAAAAGATCTATCAAATAGTCAACTTCTCTGAAACAGAATCCCAATTATGTTGAGAGCTTCAAACCAAAACTGAAAAGATATTTGATTGCCCTAACTAATTTATTAGTAAATTACATCTTCATTTTTATTTTTTTTTTTCTCTTTCCGTTGTCCCTTATTTTTTGTATAGAAATCAACTCCACCTGCTTTGAACTAAGGAACACACTAGACCTAACACACTAGACCTATCAAACTACTATTCCAGAAAAATAAAAATAGACAAGGAAAAAAGAGAAGCATAATCTAGAGTAAAAATATCAATCACTATCATGAAACACAGCATTGACGATAATATCTGAATGTGTATTAACAATTCACAAAGCACGCAGCAGATAAAAAACTGAAATTCAATGTGAGATAGGTACCGACAGAAATTAATGCCTGTTGCCATTTCGAACTTGATT